TAATTTATTAAAGTATGTTACCACATATACTATGTATATGTATATATAAAATTATGCATGATTAAAGTATGGAAAATAATTTAATGTTGTATGTAGTTTTCAGATTCCAATAAAGGACAAGTCAGCAAAACAGTTAAGAAAAATAAATATGAAAACGCGAACTTGAACTTTCCTCTTGATATGTCTGTCAACGACGTAATGGAATTAACTTTGAGAGATCATATTTTGGACTTTGAAGACAAAATTAATGCAGGTTGTCTAGGATGTCTTAAAATTATTGATCGTACTGTCTGGAGGAATGCGATCAATCAGAGAGGTTATGATAAACAGTGTGACAAATTAATGTGTGCCGGTAGTGAGATAGATATAGATGCACCACCTAATGCTCTTATAGACAAGATAAAGAACGAGTCTAAACATAGTAGACCCGGTACCCCCGATTCCGAGGTTGGAAGTATTAGCATAAAGACTTATAAGGATCCAGGAATGTACTTAGGTTTACCTGGTGACGATGAAATGATGCCCGACCAAAAGCAACAGGCGACTATCAAACAATTAGCTTGTTCCATTTTGCAATTATCTCATGCTATAGAACAGAGGTACTTACAGAGACCACTAGGGCCCGATCAAAAGGACAAAAAATGGTCGGGCGAGGAGACACGAGAGAGATGGGAACAATCATTGATAGCCTCTACGAACTGGTCACAGTTGTTCGTTCACTTAAGTACTTTGCACAATAGCGTCGCGTGGGACAGAAGCGCGTTAAACGCTCAGTGTCGTATATGTCGGAGGCGTAGGGATGCGGAGAACATGTTGCTTTGCGATGGATGCAACAGGGGACATCATCTCTATTGCCTGAAACCAAAACTTACTGTAATAAATAAGTTCATTATATTGATGCTTCCACAATGATTGACTGAACTATCATAATATTATTTTCTTGTTATTTCTTACATACAGGCTGTACCAGCGGGAGATTGGTTTTGTACAGCATGTAGACCACCAGAGATAAAACCCAAAGAAAAGACTCAAAAGCGGAAAAGATTCGAGGATGAGATTGAAGAAGAGACGATGTTAACCAAAGAGACGCGACAAAATCGCGCGAAGCGCATACCGCACAGTGACGACGAGGGTGACCAAGAGAGTGACGATGAAGATGATGAAAGCGAAGAAGACATGTAAGTTATCTTTTCGTAGCATAAAAATTTTACATTAGCTTAATATTCCTAATAATGTTTATTTACTTTCTTCTGTTTTAGAAATATACGATTAGAAAATTTATGCGCATCGTGTAAAAATGATGGAAAATTGATTGCTTGTGACACATGTCCAAATCGTTTTCACTTAGAATGCGTAGATCCGCCATTGTCGAGAGCTCCTAGAGGCAGATGGTCTTGCACCATATGCAAGAATAAAAAAAAGAACGCGACAAAAGGTAACAAAGAAATAATAACGGAACAATATATGGACGAAAATGTCTTAAGGGTTTATTCTTCTGTTATAACTTAAGAAAAAAAGTTTCCGCATTTAACGTAGATGAAATTATTAGACAAGTTGATATAAGAATATTATAAGAAAAAGTTTCTTAGCGTTAAAATTATGTTGATAGTGAGGGGGTATGAAAGAGAAAGAAACAAGGAGAGGCTGTGCGCAGCAGCAGCACGCTCTCGCATCCATGGCTTTGCTAAGAGCCTCCTCACTACTGAATCTACAGACTGGGATGGTCTGTATTGTATTCCTTTTGTTTTGTGTATATATATATATATGTATATATGTGTAGCATCTTCATGGCCAAATTTTGCATCTTCATTTTTTCTTTTTTGGAAAGCACCGCACATTAAAAGAGACCAATTATTCATCATTAACATAATGAACAGTTTATAATTTTTATTTTGAGATTACATATGAATCTAACCAAATAATGAATTACTATAAATTATTTACTATAAATCTTTTTCCGACATTTTATTTTAAATTATTTTTTTAATGTTTATATCAGATTATGTATTGCTACTTACGTTTTCGAAATTATTTCTTTTTCGTTAATATATCTGGACATCAGGAAAATCAAATAATATAATATTCCTTGGAGCCTGATACTACTATTCTTATTGGATTTATTAATAAATTTGATAAATATATAAATACTCTAGATTTATATTAATATAAATTTAGACTAATTTTACAATAATATAATCAGTAATAATATATATAATTTTACAATGTTGACTTATTTATCAATAAAATGTATAAGCCTTATACATTTTCATATAAAATTAAATATTTTAATTTGAAATAACATGGCACAATATATGCACACATGCACACATACATATAATTCTTGTTTTGACTTCTGAGTAAAATTTGAAAAAAATGGACTTTGGAACTATCTCAAGTACAAACGGTGACTACGAGACTCTAGATAAATTCTTAGGACTTATTAGAGGACAGATTCTAACATAGCATTACATAAATGCTCGATTTCCATCATGTAAATGCTTGGTATATTGTATCATCTTGGTAATAAGATCGTAAGCTATAGCTAATCCATATCACATCAATATCATCGATAGAACTAGAATTTTAGTTGTTAATGTAGCCTTCAAGTAATTAGTAAATAATTTCGAATTGAAATGACAGAAATGTGATATGCTAATATAAAAAATTTTTAATGTACAGATAGCAGTACATCGGATGACACTGAACCGAGACAAACGCGGCGTGCAACTAAAAGAGCCGCCGAAATTGAACAAGGAGACAAGAATTCCATTAAGGGATCTATGAGTAGATTACAAGAATTATTGGCTGAAATCTGGCATCACAGAGATTCGTGGCCATTTTTATCACCCGTTAGAAAGGATGAGGTTCCAGACTATCACGATATCATCTCTAACCCGATGGACTTTGGAACTATCAAGTATAAACTCGGTAACGGCGACTATGAGACATTAGATAAATTCTTTAGCGATTGCCAATTGGTTTTTGAAAACTGTGGATTGTACAACAAAGAACATAGTACTGTGTACAAGTAGGTATCAACATTATCGTTATTTATTTTATGCAAGTTCGGATGCCAGAGATCACAATTCTAATTAGTATTACTTCATATATTTCTACATTATTAACGATAACACACACATATAATTAACGCCGTATAGCTATTAATAACAAAATAATAACATAATAATAACATAATAATAAATTGATATCTTTATTATTTTTTATATTGTATGTATACTAATTTTCGACTTGATATATGTATAAGTAAATTCTTAACAGAACTATTAGGTGTGATTCGGATTAGGTCTGTAGAATATATATATATATATATATATATATATATCATAAATCTAACAAAATATAACAAATATCAACAAAATTAGGGTTTATAATTCGGTAAAATAACTATCGTAATATAAAAAGGTGGTCTATGAATTATATATAAATGGATTAACTATTTTGCGATTGTGATCTTAATGGATGAATTCGATTTTTATATCTCTTAAAATTTGCGAACGTGTTAAATTCATCTGTAACTTTAATACAAGTAGGGTTTTGCTGTTGTTGATGTAAGTAATCTTTTGCCTCCGAACCAATTTGGAAATGCGCATATAAGAAACAAGGCTATGTCTTGTTAAAAATAGTTACGTGTATAGTGCAGGGATGCGATTACGCAAGTACTTCGAGAAACGCTGCAAAGAATTAGGCTTGAATTTTGAGGACGGACTTTTCCAAGAAGAAACCAGAAAGATTAAGAGGCCGAGATTGAGCAGTGATGTCGAAGAAAACGGTACATCGGAAAGTGATGACGACGAAAGAGAAGTGCAGAAGAAAAGATAGAATAAAGAAGATTAGATATATATACATTATATTTCATTACGATGCATACTCATGAAATTTAAATTTAGAGCCGCTCATATTTTATATATTTTGAACTCAGCATATATGTGGACTTGTATACCGATATTGAGCGGTTGAAAGATTCTGTATGTAACTCAAGATACTTGTAAATTATATACTTTGATTCTTTCAACAAAGTAATATAAAATTACACCGACAAAAAAGTTGACAGAATAGTACAATTTTGATGAATTGAGAATTTATTTTACATAATCACTGATGCAAATATACGAAAAAAATTGTTTTTTTTTTTACAGTCGATTTCTTCGAGGCTTCTTGTAATAAAGACGTACACACAGTATTATTTGCAGAAATACATATAGCTGCACATACATATACTTTTAGATCACTTTTAGTATCACGCACTCAGAGCATTTCAAAATTATGACATACAGCTCATTAGTTTCCATTTGCTTCAATCAGTACAAGAATTGCACTATTTTCTCTATAGATGTAAACAGAAAGAGATGCTCGACACATTCTCGCATCGATCAATTTTATTTATTATTTTAGTATTAATCATATAAAGCGGCAATTTATATATACTCATTGCCGTAGTTATTAAGAATCGCGTAAATGTATACATGGTAAGTCACACTATAAATTTTGCTTTTCTCGAGATCGTCTGTACGCGAGCTTTAATAATAGAACACGAGCACAGCTTTCAAAAAAAGTTTTAGAAACGTTTATAAAAATTTATGTTTGTAGATTCAGACAATAAAATTGGATACTTTTGTACTGCGTGTCCTGTGATTGTTATCAATTGAAGCATTATCATTAATATTCTGTAAATTTTTTTTATAATACTTATTTTTTGGATATTTAGTTTATTTTTAACAGTTTTCAATTTTTAGGATAGATGTGTACTATGTCAAAATTTCTTGTATTATGTAGTAATCACAAAAATGCGTTCTTTTTAGTCATGTATATTTTATACGATTATTTTAATAATTAAACTTTTAAATAGATTTTTTTTTACAATTCCCTTATGCCTCTCCATAATTTATTTCACATATGTAATTACAGATTTATTTGTTCTAATTACTAAATTGTTTTTTTCTTACACATGTTCATTTTTGACTCTAATATTCATATTTTTACTTCAATGATGGCCACCTGGAGTGCCGAAGAACATTTCCTGATGGATTTTGTCCCATTTCGCAACATTCTCAGGAGCATATGCTGGAAATAAGAATATAGTAGGTGATATATATTCTAAATCAAATGTCAAGACAAGCTGTTACTTACATAATTTTTGAATTTTATAGAATATGGGCACAGTTATGAGTGAGCTTAGGAGGAAATATCTATACAGCCAACTATGTTTCCAGTAATATTTGTATGGAAACTGAGCAATCTTCGCGGTAAAGGTATATGGATACTTCATACGTCGTATACCTTGCGACATGTTGGTTGTCTATAACAAACGAATTAATCATAATTAACTTATTTATGTAAATGACAATAGTAATATGTTACAAAAGATGTGTGAAAAATCTCAGCACAATTGCAAGAGGACTAATTAAGGGTCCTCTACACAGAAGTCATAGATGGTTGTGGAGTCTTAAGTCGTAGGAAACCAACCAATCACAATCAAATATAAGGAGAATACTCGATTAGAATCGGTCAGTTTCCTATGATTTAAGACTCCACGACCGTCTATAACTTCTACATAGAGGACCCTTTAAAGTATAATCCAGTACACTATCAGGTGTCTAAGCACAGGTTATTTTGCACAGACCTGTGCAAAATAACCTACAAAATTATGGATTATAAAATAACCTACAAAATTATGGAAAGGTTTCTTTTCGTTATAATTTTTTAAAATCAGACATGAATAGAGATTACACATGATTCATATCATTAGTGCGAATAAAATGTGTTTGAAATAGTACAATTTATACACCGACTAATAATTCTGATCTCCGAAGGAAGAAAATGACATGTTATTTAGAAATTGCTTATAAAAATTGTCGCTAGCAATTAAGTATTACAAAAAGAAATGGTTAGCGTACACTTGATGCTTTTTTAACTTTATGTTTAACACAATTTTAAATTACTCACTATTTCGGGTTTATAATATATGGCAATATTATGTGAAATTATGTAATATATCTAGAAGAGATTCCTAAAGATTTATTTTCCAAGTCGCAAACGAATCGATAAACGGGACAAATGGATATTATGGAACAATAACATAACAGCAGAGTATTCAACTGTCCAAACTAAAGTTACTAGATGTACGGAGGCTACGGTCAGTGTTGTTAAGCCTTGTGTTCACGATGCTAGAAATCGGTCCAAGATCTCGGACAGAGAAAAAATTAACAAATCACATTTGAACAATTTGATCACATGACTATTGCGATTGGTCAATTCTTTCTTCATCCGAGTTCTCGGACCGATTTCTAGCATCGTGGACACAAGGCTTTAGACGGGCCGAATTTCAGACGCATGCGCGTCCAATGTAGCTTCAGTAATGTACCGATCACTAGTAAATAGGAGATCATTAGTCGCCTATGTAAAATTTTGTCAAAAATGTTGAAAATTTTAATATATTTTATATATTTTACATAGGTATACACACATATATAAAAATATATTATATATATTTATTATATATATTTATAACAGTTGTAAAACTACTTTTTCTACTGAACGCAACTATTCTAACGAGAGCATTGGAATGAGGATGATAGAAGCACGTTGGAGTATGCAACTCGAACAAACCTTCAACAAGTGTATTCTTGTGGAATAAAAACTACTTCTAAACTGTGAAATATTCAACTTTATTTGAGAAATCCAATCATTCGCAATAATTTAACACATCATCAACTGAGAACGCAGTCCTTTTTCTCTTTTTCTTGTTTTTTTTTGTTTTCGTAACAACAGCATGATTCGTCGTCTTTGATTCATCGTCGGTTTTCATATTTATTTAACAGATTACAGTATCCGTTCCCAATTTTCCCTTTTTAGTCATCATTTGATAGTTTGGCCAAACAACAAACTAGTTCTGAACATAATACAAAACTTCAACTGTAACATCAATGTATAATAAAGTTTAAATGAAATCTACATATTGCAGGTAGAATGCCTGCAATATAAAAGTTTATTATTGCTTGTCATTTTTCATTTCATTAAAGCGTGTACCACCGCTTTGGCATTCAATGATTTCAGGTCAGTGTAAGTTTGGCCAGTTCCAACAAAAACAATAGGTTGACCAGTAATGTATGTCATTGTAATAGCTGCGCCAACCTGCAAATAATATTCATGAGAAATGATTGTAAATGCTATACAATAATAAAAAAATAGATATTATAGAGGAAGATATATTTTTATAGATATACAGGGTGTCCTAGAATGACTGCCAAATATTTCGTACACAAGTAGACCAGACTAAACCGAGTCGAAAAGTTCTCTATCATTTTGCAATTTTCGCAATAATTAACAAGATATTAATGACTAAAAATCGCCGAATATTCATCTTTAATAATTTTTTACTCAAGTACTATCAATTTTACAGAAAAACAGCAAGACAAAAATTGTTTCTTCTTATAGAGTGCTCAAAATTTTTTCAGAATTTTCTATCAATTTTTTAATACTGCATTTTCTTATTGGCAACTATTTTTACTAACACGAGAAAATATAGTACTAAAAAATTCTGAAAAAGTTCTCAGAATTCTACGAGAAGAAAATAAACAATTTTTGTCTCTTGCTGTTTTTCTGTAAAGTTGATAGTATTTGAGTAAAACATTGAAAACCAATATTCGACGATTTTTAGTAATTAATATTTTGTTAACTATTGCGAAAATTGCAAAATGGTACAGGATTTTTCGATTTGGTTTAGTCCGCTCTGCCTGCATTCAAAATATTTGGCGGTTATTCTGGGTCACCCTGTATATAACACGTATGTGGTTTATTATTATATATAAAATACAATAATTGATGTGTGTATATATATATATAGATGGTATATATTTTGTATATTAGATGGTAAATATTTTCTCAGATATTGATATAAAGATTAGAGGTTCTATAAAAAAAAAAATGTAATAAGTCATTTAAAAGATATATAAAAGAAAAACTTACTTTATCATCGATAGTATCAAATTTTGTCAACACGATACCGTCGATCATATGAGGATTGGCAGATTGACTGTAGTCAGCCAAAGCTTGATTGAATTTCACCAGCTGATCCACAGCCTCATTCCCGACGAGAGCTTCCCCCACAAATAATACCAAGTCCGGCTCGTTAACTTTAATTAGCTTTGCCAGAGCTCGCATCAATGGTTCATTATCTTGCATTCTACCAGCAGTGTCAACCAGGACAACATCAATTCTAGAATCCTTCGCAAAGCGTATCGCCTCCATGGCAATACCTGCGGCATCTTTACCGTAACCTTTCTCATACAGCTGCACCATGGACTGATTCCCGTGCTTTTCTGGTGGATGCAGAGCATTCAAATGACGCATGTGAGTTCTCAGTTGTTCAACAGCTCCAGCTCTAAATCACAAAATTATTATTATTATAAGCTCATATACATTAATTTTTATTAGAATTTATATTAACAGAATTGAGGCGCTTATTGACAAATTAATACCTTAAAAAAGATTATTTTAGAAGTAAGACGTTTAAAACAAATATATATAACACAATGTGTGCATAAAGAAAAAAATATATAAGAAAGATATTATGTTTCAAGAGGCATATATTCATAATAAGATAATATTCATTTACCTGAATGTATCGCATGCGGCTATTAACACACGGAAATTGTTTTCTATTAACCAGAAACAGATTTTTGCCAGATTTGTCGACTTGCCGACTCCATTGACGCCACAAAAAGTCATCACATAAGGCCTGTTGCTGTTCTTAGCTTCTAAAGCGTCTCGTAGAATATCGATTCTCCTTTTGGGCGATAATATCTGTACTAAAGCATCTGTTAAAGTGGCTTTCACAGTGTTTGCCACACTATCAAAGGTGCCGAGTATCTTTCCTTCCAACTTTGTGCCGACAGAATCGCATAACTTCTGCGCAATGTCCGCAGCAACATTTTTAGTGATTAGATGATCCTTCAGTTTCTCCAAAACTGGCAACATATCTTCTTGCTTTAGAGATTTGCTGCCGACTAGACTCTTGAACATAGAGAACATACTCGTTTTCTTTTGCACTTGCTGCTTGGATTGCTCTATCTCTTCCTGATCGGAACTATCCTCAGATTCGCTGTTCACCTCGAGATCGCGTATGCTACCTTTCATCTGTCCAACTAGCTACAGAAGATAATGAGAATATAAATAAGCAATATAAATAATATATATAAAAATATAAATCGCAATTTCTTCAACTAAAAGTCAGTTAATTCAATGCATTCTTTTTCTTTTTTGTTTGTTTTTTTTCCAATTATATTCTTCAATCCATAATTATAAAAATTAATTTATTATATTCAGTTACATAAAATTTTTTGAATTTTTGTACACACACACACACACACACACGTATTTCCAAAAAATAAAAAGACACAAAACGTGATTAATTATCAGTTAAAGATATCAAATTTAATAAGAGAAATTATAAGATTTTTTGTCAATAGAAATAGGAAGCAAATTCTTCAATAAACTTAATATTAAAAGAATGCAAAAAAAATATTACAGCTGTATTGGCTG